AAACATAAACTTTTAACTACATCTTTACAAGCAGAACCGAATAACTTGAAAGTTCCAACTAAGTACTAGCTTCCGAAGATGCACAAAACACATTACGAATATAAATTTATTTCGTCTTCAAGCCATTGTTCCACCACTAAACTGTCTATTCTACTTACTAGTACACTTGGTACAATCAAAACCTGGTAAAAAAATGTTCAAATAAGGCCTTTGAAAATAGCGGAATCAATTACTTTTGGAGTGTCAAAAATTCGTTGGAAGTACTTGATACATTGCATACTCATATTGGTAATTTAGAAACTGTTCATATATATTGATGATGTTCTTTCCATTCACAATCCAAACTTTTATGATTGGGTTCCATTAATATATCCTCCAGAACTAGAAATTAAAGAAACAAAAGACACGGCTTTCTCCGCCTCATTTATAGACTTGTACTCGAATTTGACATAAGCGGTCATCTCAGTTATCTAGAATCTATGACAAACAAGACGATTTCAACTTAAATTATCAATTTCCCCCACCTTAGTAGCAATATACCAACTTCACCTGCATATGGGATATACATTTCCCAACTCATTTGGTATTCAAGAGCTTGCAGCTGCTACTCAGACTTTATAAAACGTCACTAGTGTCTGAGCAGAAAGTTGATGAACCTGGGTTGTGTCAAAGAACGTCTCGTTCTTTTTCTAAAAAAAGTTCATCGGAAGATACCAAGACGTAGATAAATATTCCGTATCAACTTCACAAATAATACATGATGGCCTTGACGTATAGATTCTATGTACTGACATTGTTTATCATCTTAATTACGTGTTATAGTGTTCTTTTATTTGTCTTTGTTAATTATTAACCTTTACTGTTTAGTCCATTTTTGGTAATATCCTTATGGCGTGGCTCGGTACTTATGCACCCTGCCATTGTGTTGTTGTGCTGTGGTCAGTTTTTGTATTCTTGTCTTTCATTTTTGCTTATGTGCTTTGTCTATATGCCATTATGTTTTTCTTTGTTGACATTTTTGTTTGTTTTTATAGTGATTAAGATTATAACACAATGTTGACTGCTGTACTCCTATTTTTGACATTTTTACCTGTTATGTCTGTTTGTTTTGTTCACACATCGTTGTCAATATAATGGAATTATATGCGACTGTTATACAAGTGAGAGGTTTATCTAGCTATAACACCAGGTTTAATCCACCATTTTTTACATAAGGAAATGCATGAACCAAGTCAGGAATATGACATTTGTTTTCCATTCGTTTGATGTGTTTGAGCTTTTGATTTTGCAGTTTGATAAGGGACTTTCCGATTTGAATTTTCCTCAGAGCTCGGTATTTTGTTATTTTACTTTTTTCAAAGTTTTGATTTCTCTACCCTATATACCACTTTGCCTCATAATCTCATTAAGAAAAAAATCACATACCTAATTAAATGGGAGTTTAAAAAGTCAGAATGCGAATGTATATGTTCAAACTCTTTTAGGTAATTTTTTAGTAACAACAAACAAAAGAACTATGTCAATTGGACCTGCTTTGATACGATAACAGCACTTGAATTTTTACTAGATAACATTTTTGTTCGCTATGGAGATTCGTATATCGTCAAGTTATAGGAATGCCAATGAGGACTAAAAGAGGGACGAAAGATACCAGAAGGACAGTCAAACTCATAGATCGAAAACGAACTGACAACGCCATGGCCAAAAATAAAAAGACAAACAGACAAATAATAGTACATATGACACAACATAGAAAACTAAAGACTAAGCAACACGAACCCCACCAAAAACTGGGGGTGATCTCAGGTGCTCCGGAAGGGTAATCAAATCCTGCTCCACATGTGGCACCCGTCGTGTCGCTTATGTTATTACAAATCCGGTAAATAGTCTAACTCGGTAGGTCACATTCGTGAAAAGGGAAGGGTATTGTAGTTACGACATAAGGAACATATCCGATATCATCTGTGAAACGGTTATTCCATAACGATCAACCAACTCGTGATGACGTCCGAAAATTTACGAAGGGATGATTTCAACTTCAAGGAAATCATGATAGGAAATACAAGCCCGGGAATATCGTATCAATTGGGAGATATATAATCCTTATGCAGGCGCTGCTGGAATGTTGCTACATAGAAATGGAAAGTTCACAATTGGGAAGCTGAAATCATCTCTTTTGTCGTAAAGTTTTGTTTTCAACCGAACCTCATTGTCAATTTCTAGATGTAAGTCAAGATATGAGGCAGACTTAACTGTATCTGTAATATCCTTTATCTCTCGTTCGATGGGATAGATTCGTTCAACATAGTCACCAAATTTTGTATTATTTAGTGAGAGAACATCATCTATATAGCGGAACGTAAAGTTAAAGGATATTGCTAACTTCTTATCTTTCTTCCTAAGAGGTTCCTGTATGAAGTCAACCTCATAATAATAAAGAAACAAGTCGGCAAGAAGAGGGGCACAATTGGTTCCCATTGGAATTCCGACAGTCTGTTGAAAAACACGTCCTCCAAACGTAAAACATATGTTGTCAATCAAGAAATCAAGCATCTTGATAATGTCAGTTTCAGAGAATTTTTTGTTTGAATCAGAGTGATTCTTTACAAAGTAGGATTTATCCAACCCCAAGACAAGATACTTGTATCTACATTCGCCATTCTTTTTAATGAAACAAAGTAATACCAACTCTTTCAATTTGTCTTTTAAGTTGAAATGGGGAATACTTGTGTAAAGTGTAGAAAAGACTAACTGTACACCACTTATCGCGGACCTATGTCTGTATTGTTACGAGTTACAATTTATGAGTAAAATCAGCAAAGATCCATCTAAACAACATCTGATACAAAAATTTAATAATACTTTTAGATATTTGGATGATATATTGGCTCTCAATAATGACGACTTCAGTATGTACACTAAAGAGATTTATCCTGCTGAACTGACTTTAAATAAAGCTAATACTAACAATGAACACTGCCCTTTCCTGGATCTTGATATCTATATCTTTAACGGAAAGCTTAATACTAAAATTTACGATAAAAGAGATGATTTTTCATTTCCTATTGTTAATTATCCATTTTTAGATGGTGATCATTCGTACATACAACGTGCAGACATATTATACGTTCAGGTATTTCACATCCCATCTTTTATGGTAATATTCTATACAAAGCACAAAAATGTCGTCATTCACCTCAAAAGCTAATCAAACCTTTAAACAGACTTATTCAGAAGGGATATAGTTACGATACTGTTGTCAGGTCATTAAAGATGGCATTTTTTGAATAAATATTGATTCACTCATAGGGTCTTTGCATCGGAAATAAACACATTTACTATAAAACCAGTTGTTGGCATGATACGGGTTATGTTCTTATATCGTATATTTCATTCTAGTATGATACTAAACCCCTAACGAGAGGGATTGTGCTTGATTTTCGTAGGATAAAGACATAATCTTTCAATCAGTTTAATTGAGGTCTGGAGCTGGCATGTCAGTAACTGCTAGTAGTCCTTTGTTAATTAATGTATCATTGTCATTTTGCTAAGTTTCTTTTTTTACCTATTCTAACATCGGACTCAGACTTCTTTTAAACTGAATTTTACTGTGCGTTTTGCTGTGTGTTTGTTTATTCCACATTGGCTAGAGGTATAGGGGGAGGGTTAAGATCTCCCAAGGCATGTTTAATCCCGCCGCAATTTTGCGCCTTTCCCAAGTAAGGAACCTCTGGCCTTTGTCAGTCTTGTATGTTTTTTTTTTTAAATTTTGGTTCATTTATTAGTTTCGGAGTTTAGTGTGACGTCCATTTTCGCTGAACTAGTATACATTATTGTTTAGGGGTCAGCTGAAGCCCGCCTCCGGGTATGGGATTTTCTCGCTGTGTTGAAGACCCATTGGTGGCCTTGGGCTGTTTTCTGTTATTTGGTCGAGTTGTTGTCTCTTTGACGGATTCCCCGTTTTCATTCTCAATTTTAACCGTAAGGCCGTCAACAATCAGAAAACCACATACCGTATAGTCGGCTATAAAAGGCCCCGACATGAAAATTATGAAACAAGTCAGGCTACTGTCGTATTACTCCTATACTATTTGTTGATATGTTATATCAAGTGATTAGGCATCACACAATAGCTAATTAAAATTGACTAAAAAAAACAAGTCAGATTTTCTTTCAGTTGTTAATCATTAACCAATCAGATTGAAGATACAAGATGATTCCGATCATGGTGGACTATCAATCTCCGAGGGTATCATTAGAGCAAAAGTATACCGGTAACTGTCTTGTCTATCCTTTTGCATTATTAAATTGTTTCATTTTCAAAATTGCACAATTTCAAAATTGCACATTCGGTTAAGTTTCAGGGTTAGACAATTTTCATGACCGATGGTTTTTGAATTTGAGATGTCTTAGGGTTAGATAAGAGTCTATACATTACAAAAGGATAAGATTAAAGAAATTTCTAATTTCATAATAATTCCATTTCGGAAAGCCATATTTTGATGTCTATAAAGGCAACAGTAGTATACCGGTGTTCAAAAGTCATAAATCGATTGAGAGAAAACAAATCCGGGTTACAAACTAAAACCGAGGGAAACACATCAACTATTAGAGGAAAACAAAGTAACAACATGAACACTGAAGTACAATAAAAACAAACGCTAACATACATAGAAACGAACTATTTGATAACAACTGTCATATTCCTGACTTGGTACAGGACATTTTAAGAATAAATGGTGGGTTGAATCTGGTTTAATGGCTAGCCAAACCTCCCGCTTTATGACAATGTTAAAAAATATCGCTAAAATGACAACACTACGTGACAGAAATACAGCACACGCAAAAACATACATCACAGAGAAACGCACAAACAAATAATATAATAGTCGACACAACATGCACATGGCAAAGCCTAATACAAAGTTATGTGTTCCAGAAATTTGATCATAGAATATTTTAAACTGTATACCAGTGTCTGAATATCCTGTTTATATGAAATGGAAGGTATATGGTATACAATTTATAAAGGACATTGTAGATAATCAAAGCAAATCATTGTTAACATTTCAACAAGACAAAAATTGATTTCTTTTTTATATACTACAGTTTACTATATAACATTCCAAAATATATCCAAAGATACAACAAAGATTATTGTAATTTGCACTTAGGACATTTTGTTCCTTTTGATGGATTTTCTAAAAAGATCATGGAAAATAAGAAGTTGAAATATGTGAATAGAGATCATGTAGATAAAACATGCATACTCCCAAATGAGAAATTTTTGAAATGGGAGGAAGTAACAAATTGTTAAGTATTTTTCTCTTCTGAAAAGATGTTGTAGAGAATCATATTCAAAGAATTTTCAATATAAAGTACTACATAGAATTTTACCTACAAATATATTTTTATATAGAAATAAACAAAAGAAAACAAGTCTATGTATCTTCTGTAATGAGGAAGAGAAAACAATATAACATGTATTTTATGATTGTAATGTTACCCACAATTTTTGGTTGTCATTTTTACAATAAAATAAAATTATTTATTATCAATTCAGCATCAGTAAGAAAGAGATTTTGTTGGGATTTGTGACTAAGAGTTTGTTTATAAATTTGTTAATTATTGTAGCTAAAAACTACATCTTCAAATGTAAGTTAAGAAATATAGCTCCAAGTGCAATAGGAATAAAATCAAGAATAAAACAATACCAATCTAATGAATTTTATATTGCGAACAAAAATAATAGAGTAAATGCTTATGAAGGATTCTGGTCCTCACTACATAAAATATTTTCGTGATTTATTATCATTTATACTTTAAATTATACTGTATCGAGCAGTTGATATTTGAATTTTACCTTATGTATAGACATGCATCATGCATACTAATGGATTACAGTGATTGTGTGTAAGTAGTGAGAGGAAGTGTGAGTGTGAGTGGCCTTTTTTCAGTAACTATATTCTGCGTATAATATATATCAATTTAAAAAACAAAATGGATAGTCTTATTCAATTATTCAATGTTTATCCCAAAAAACATAGTCAGGTGGTGATTGTAGGCGTATTGTAAAATCCTGACTACTGAAAAACAAATAAAAGATTAAAAAAAAGAGTCAATTTAATCCACTATTGCGTGATGCCTAATCAATTGATAAAACATATCAACATATTTTATAGCAGTAATACGACAGGTGTCACATCTGGAGCAGTATCTACTTACCCATCTGAAGCACATGAGTTCACCCCCGGTTTTTGGTGGGGTTCGTATTGCTCTATCTTTAATTTTCTATGTTGTGTTTTGAATAATGTTGTTTGTCTTTGGTTGTTTTTCGTTTTTTGCTATTGCCAGTTTATTTTCGATTTATGAGTTTGAATATCATTTTGGTATCTTTCGCTTCTCTTTTTCTAGTAAGTACTTCGGTACTAACATGATTTATAACAAACCTTTCTTAAATTGTCCGTTAATAAATTTATAAATTATTAAGGTTTGCTTTCTGAAATCATATTGTATATGCAAGTGCATTGTCAAATTTTTAACAGCTCTGTTTTGTTTGGGTATGCCAGTGATGGAGGTTTAATGTTTTGATCATGTTTTGAGTTATTGTTAAATTGAGATTTTTGGAGAAAAAAAAGAGGCGAAAGATACAAAGGTGATATTTAAAACTCATAAGTCTAAGAGAAGAAAAAAGGCGGGAGATACCAAGGGGACATACAAAACTCATCAATCTAAGAGAAGAAAAGAGGCTGAAGATAACAAGGGGACATTCAAAACTCATCAATCTAAGAGAAGAAAAGAGGCTGAAGATAACAAGGGGACATTCAAAACTCATCAATCTAAGAGAAGAAAAGAGGCAGAAGATACCAAGGGGACATTCAAAACTCATCAATCTAAGAGAAGAAAAGAGGCAGAAGATAACAAGGGGACATTCAAAACTCATCAATCTAAGAGAAGAAAAGAGGCTGAAGATAACAAGGGGACATTCAAAACTCATCAATCTAAGAGAAGAAAAGAGGCAGAAGATACCAAGGGGACATCCAAAACTCATCAATCTAAGAGAAGAAAAGAGGCAGAAGATACCAAGGGGACATCCAAAACTCATCAATCTAAGAGAAGAAAAGAGGCAGAAGATACCAAGGGGACATTCAAAACTCATCAATCTAAGAGAAGAAAAGAGGCTGAAGATACCAAGGGGACATTCAAAACTCATCAATCTAAGAGAAGAAAAGAGGCAGAAGATACCAAGGGGACATCCAAAACTCATCAATCTAAGAGAAGAAAAAAGGCAGAAGATACCAAGGGGACATCCAAAACTCATCAATCTAAGAGAAGAAAAGAGGCAGAAGATACCAAGGGGACATTCAAAACTCATCAATCTAAGAGAAGAAAAGAGGCTGAAGATAACAAGGGGACATTCAAAACTCATCAATCTAAGAGAAGAAAAGAGGCAGAAGATAACAAGGGGACATTCAAAACTCATCAATCTAAGAGAAGAAAAGAGGCTGAAGATACCAAGGGGACATTCAAAACTCATCAATCTAAGAGAAGAAAAGAGGCAGAAGATACCAAGGGGACATCCAAAACTCATCAATCTAAGAGAAGAAAAGAGGCAGAAGATAACAAGGGGACATTCAAAACTCATCAATCTAAGAGAAGAAAAGAGGCAGAAGATACCAAGGGGACATTCAAAACTCATCAATCTAAGAGAAGAAAAGAGGCAGAAGATACCAAGGGGACATTCAAAACTCATCAATCTAAGAGAAGAAAAGAGGCAGAAGATACCAAGGGGACATTCAAAACTCATCAATCTAAGAGAAGAAAAGAGGCTGAAGATACCAAGGGGACATTCAAAACTCATCAATCTAAGAGAAGAAAAGAGGCAGAAGATAACAAGGGGACATTCAAAACTCATCAATCTAAGAGAAGAAAAGAGGCAGAAGATACCAAGGGGACATCCAAAACTCATCAATCTAAGAGAAGAAAAGAGGCAGAAGATACCAAGGGGACATCCAAAACTCATCAATCTAAGAGAAGAAAAGAGGCAGAAGATAACAAGGGGACATTCAAAACTCATCAATCTAAGAGAAGAAAAGAGGCAGAAGATACCAAGGGGACATCCAAAACTCATCAATCTAAGAGAAGAAAAGAGGCAGAAGATAACAAGGGGACATTCAAAACTCATCAATCTAAGAGAAGAAAAGAGGCAGAAGATACCAAGGGGACATCCAAAACTCATCAATCTAAGAGAAGAAAAGAGGCAGAAGATACCAAGGGGACATTCAAAACTCATCAATCTAAGAGAAGAAAAGAGGCAGAAGATACCAAGGGGACATTCAAAACTCATCAATCTAAGAGAAGAAAAGAGGCAGAAGATAACAAGGGGACATTCAAAACTCATCAATCTAAGAGAAGAAAAGAGGCTGAAGATAACAAGGGGACATTCAAAACTCATCAATCTAAGAGAAGAAAAGAGGCTGAAGATAACAAGGGGACATTCAAAACTCATCAATCTAAGAGAAGAAAAGAGGCTGAAGATAACAAGGGGACATTCAAAACTCATCAATCTAAGAGAAGAAAAGAGGCAGAAGATAACAAGGGGACATTCAAAACTCATCAATCTAAGAGAAGAAAAGAGGCAGAAGATAACAAGGGGACATTCAAAACTCATCAATCTAAGAGAAGAAAAGAGGCAGAAGATACCAAGGGGACATTCAAAACTCATCAATCTAAGAGAAGAAAAGAGGCAGAAGATACCAAGGGGACATTCAAAACACATCAATCTAAGAGAAGAAAAGAGGCAGAAGATACCAAGGGGACATTCAAAACTCATCAATCTAAGAGAAGAAAAGAGGCAGAAGATACCAAGGGGACATTCAAAACTCGTCAATCTAAGAGAAGAAAAGAGGCTGAAGATACCAAGGGGACATTCAAAACTCATCAATCTAAGAGAAGAAAAGAGGCAGAAGATACCAAGGGGACATCCAAAACTCATCAATCTAAGAGAAGAAAAGAGGCAGAAGATAACAAGGGGACATTCAAAACTCATCAATCTAATAGAAGAAAAGAGGCAGAAGATAACAAGGGGACATTCAAAACTCATCAATCTAAATGAAGAAAAGAGGCTGAAGATAACAAGGGTATATATTCAAACCTAAAAAGTCTTAAAGAAAAAAAAAGTGGAAGATACCAAAGGGTCATTCAAAACTATTAAGTCTAAGAGAAACTTACACGCCATGGGAAAACACAGAAAAACAGTAAAAGGGAGGTAATTCAATTTGAATCATGTAACTTAGCCCAAATGCAATATTTATTCTATACACGAATCTTGTAAGTGGTCATCATAACTACATCGATTTTTTGTTGTTTTTTTTTGGGGGGGGAGGGGGGGGGGGGAGGACGGACGTTTGATGTGATTCTCAACTTGTGTTCAGTTTTTGATGGATACATGGAGTGATTACACCATATATTTAAAAATATCACATTCAAGAATTATTATAAGATAAAAGGTATTGAGAGTAACGATATCTAGCTATTGCATATGGTGCTCCTTATTAACAATTATCGATGTATATACTAATGTTTAAAAAAGTGTAACTAACTAGTTTGCATTTGTATGATGTAGTGTACACTTAAAACAGCTGTCAAATACCATTTGGACAATCTTGTTCTTAAACAACTGTTAATCATAAACGTTATAAAACTTGAATAAACATTCAGTGGTTGTCGTTTCTTGCTGCATGTCATATTTTTTTGTTTATTGTTTCAGCCTAAATAAGGCCGTTGGATTTCTTGTAAAAATGTTTTCATTCTGTAATTGCGGGGTTTTACTATACGGTATGGGGTTTAATCATTGTTGAAGGCCATATGGTGACCTATAGTTGCTTTCATCAATGTCATTTGGACTCTGGTGGATAGTTTCTGCAATTAAAATCATACCATACCTCCTCATTTTGATGTTAAAGATTAGTATGTACTGGTGTCTTACAGTTCATACAAACAATTAGAACGTGACAAAGCTTATATTTTTCCTTTTCTAGAAAACGAATAAGCCAATTAATGATACCTTTAGATAATCTTGCATAATATATGCGCCCCTGTTTTTGGAAAAGGTGTGTGTTGCTTTTGCTTTTTTTCTGTTTTTGTATCTTGCATGTTCTGTATTCTATTATATATGCCTTACTTGTTCTGGTTCCTTGTCTAATAATTGTCATCTGGTATCTTCTAAATTTTTAGTTCTTCAATAAGAATCCCGATACGGAAAATCTGATTTCCCAGTATTGACACAATATAGTTGCTATCAAAATGCATATGCACGGGACCTAAAAAAAGTCCCTAAACATAATTGTGAGGTTGCAGATTTTCCACTTGTAAACAGCATATGCCAGTTCTTCCGTTTTGTCAATTCGCACTGTATATACTTATTTGATACTTGACAGTAGGACGGATGGCAGAATTTGCAGAATTTGCAGAAGAGTGTTCGATATATCATCAACGAAGTCTTGTCCCCATGATGTCAAATGTATCTTATCAGCTTGTAAATCCCAGAATACATTGCAACGAGAATGAAACACACTGATGAGACATCACTCTATAATACCAGGACATCTGAATAATCTGCTTACTCTCTCTGAGATCACCCTCTTTTTTGGTGGGGTTCGTGTTGCTCCGTGTTTAGTTTTTTATGAAGTATTTTGTAAACTGGTATTTGTCTTTTCGTTTTTGTTTTTTTCCATGCCTCATTATTACATTGCCGGGACCAAAAGGGTTTCACACATGTTATGAGAGGATATGAAGGATTTTACTATTTGTTTCGATATTAAATAAAATATATGTCTCTATCTGTTTTTACTGAATTAGTAGGGATATATATTTTATTCAATTTAACTCTTAAAAAAACTGTACTTCTTGGCCTTGACAAAAAAAAAAATCATTTTACGTTTCATTCTGCAGTGACCCCAAAATGAAAGCTAACCAAGAACAAATTCTTCTCCTAGAAACAGTCTCACCAGGAACCAATTCTCGGTTAGCAGAACTAGAATGTCACTGGATTATGCTCTACAAATACAACAACTTGTGTGAAATGTACGAAATTATGGCGATAATTGGTAGCATAACCTGGCGAAAACTTGTCGATAAATTTTGCAGTCTTCGGAATCACAGCTCAGCTATCATAAATATAATTTCCACTTCATACCTTTCATGGTGACTGTGAGCTTATGAGCTTTACAGATATGCAATGCTTTAAATAATGGACATGCTAAGATGTAGGATAGAAATGAACATTAAAGTTAAATAGATAGATCGCATTGAGAGTTTGCAGATCGCCTAAACATACTAAACTTATTCAAAAAGGTAGAGATAATTATGTTTACTAGGGGTGATACATATGCTCCAGTAGGTTAAAACTTGGCATTTAATTTTCGATTGAACATATGTATTACAAAGAAGTAATAGAAGATATAAAAAAAAATGATAAAAAAAAAAACACTGAATGTAATTGAACTACATATTGTTTATCTGCCAAACTGGTTTAAATTTTATATTTTTGAATACAAAGTTGTTTTTTTTTTTTGGCTCCTTAACCAGAAAAAGTATAAAAACAGATAACTTACAAAGAGGTTGGCAGACATTTTACTAGAAGACTTAATTTAACCTTGATTTACCTATCTTTAAATTCAGATGCATGTATGGTCACTTTATCGCAGTGTTCAGAAACATTTTTAATGCTTGCGATTAAATAATGTACCATAACCTCAAGAAACCAACATTTACGTTCTTTTTGAAAAGACAACAATTAAAAAAGGCAAATTAAATGCACATTTTAAACTAAACTTAAGCTGTTGTTCAGTGGTTGTCGTTTGTTGATGAGGTTTATAAGGGTTTCTCGTTTCTCGTTTTTTATATAGATTAGACCGTTGGTTTTCCTGTTTGAATTGTTTTACACTAGTCATTTTGGGGCCCTTTATAGCTTGCTGTTCGGTGTGAGCCAAGGTTCCGTGTTGAAGGCCGTACTTTGATCTATAATTGTTTACTTTTTACACATTGTGACTTGGATGGAGAGTTGTCTCATTGGCACTCATACCACATCTTCTTATTTCTAATTAAGCAGTTAAAAACTGGAAGCTCTGAAGAGAATGCATCGCTCACCTAGGTCTATGTGCATCTAAAACAATGGACATTTTCTAACATTGTGGACTAAAATAGAACTCATAACAAATACATCTTTTTGTTGATCTTGTATTGCTGAACATTTTGTCTGTTTACTGTTTCTCTCTATTTTCTTTAGGTTTTGCCCAAATCAGAAAAAGGGTAAAAAAAATCACATTCAAGGGCTATCATTCTTCTAGAGAGTCTACTCATGATTTCAGCAAAATCGAATTATTTGTGGATTATGCCTTGCTTATAATTTTTGCTGCTTAAAGTGTCTATCTATCTATTACATTTTTCAAGATAAAAGGCAAATATGCAAAGATTTGGTAAAAAATTGTCATTAAGGGCAATAACTCCAATAAGGAGTCCAATAACGATTTCGGCCATGTTGACTTGTTTGTAGATTGTGTCTTGCTGATCATTTATGGTATTAAAGTTTTAACACAAACTTTATATTAGATCCCATAAGGATCACTCAGTCCAAGTTTGATTGAAATTGATTTCGTAGTTTTAGAGAAGATATTTCGAAGTTTAACCGACGCCAAGTGATAGCATTAGCTCAACTGGCCCTGTGGTAGGGTCCATAATCGTAGGCCTAAATAAAAACATAAAGTCAGATATATGGCAGTTGTTTTTCACTTGTTCTGTTGATTGATAACGTTTTATTTTGTCAGTTTTTATGGACTTCCCTTTTTGAATATGCCTTGGAGTTCGGCATTTTTGTTATACTTTTTTAGTCAAGGTAACTTACAAAAATTGTTTCATGGCTATCTGAATGAAAGGAAACAAATGGTAGTTATCAAACAGTCCTATTCTTCACGAAAATCTGCTTTAGCAGGTGTCCCCAAGGGTCGGTCCTAGGGCCTCTTCTATTTATCATTTTTATAAACAATATTGCCGAGAATCTCATATCACTGATTAGACTCTTCACAGAAGGCATTTCTCTTAGTTATTTAGGAGTTGATAGATCGCAAATACAAAATGTAATCGATCATGACTTGAATATCCTGGATGAATATAGTCAAAAAGATGGTTCATGCAATTTAATCCAGATAAAACTGAAATTATGCTTTTCTCGAATATCAAAGTATCAAATATGAACATTGTAAAATATTCCATTCACCGATAGTTTAAACATATTTTACTGTTCAGAAACTAAACAAACGGATGAGACACAAGTTTTACAACTTATCAATGTCTTCTCCAGAATATCACCGTGTAGTTACGCTTAGTAACGATGCACAATGGAACATACACATCGATAACATTGTACTTAGTGTATCAAAATATATAAATACATTACGTAAGCTAAAATACAGACTTAGCAGGTCAAACTTTAAAAATTATACTTAATATATAAACGACAAATTTCTGAAAATGCCAATGAAGTTTGGGATAAGCTGCAAGACATGTAACTGACTTACCAATATTTACAAATAAAATTGATATTTATAAAGAAGTTGGATGAGAATCTCTTCAATAGAAGAAGAAAACTGAAAATATTTTACAACGCTTATAGCAGAAACGCCCCAAATTATCTTTGTGATTTGATTCCAACATCGATATAAAGTACAACTACATTTCCTTTAAGAAATGGTGAAGATATTATATTACCTTTTTGTATGTAGACTTTCGATGAGCAGTGACTCATTTATCCCATCAACTATTAGGCAACGGAATAGATTAGACATACATTTCCGAAAAAAAAAACCACCCAGAAACGTTATCGAAATTTAAGAATAAAATGAAAAAGAGTTCTGAAGTAGGAAATAACATGTTGCATAATTACTTTGCCTTTGGTCCCCAAAAAAACCTCAATATTATTTCACATGATCTTTTACATTCCTTAATGTTGATCTCTTTAAAATAAATATTGTATCAGATCCATCTTGTCGCTGTAGGTTTCCCCGTGAAATTCTTATCATTTCTTCTTTAAGTGTTCTTTATAAACAAATACCTAATATTCTTAGGAATAGTATTAACTGGTTACCAGATCACCTTGTATTGGATCTAGATATTATAAAATATGTTAGTATAAAACTAAAAACTAAAAAATGAGCCAAATGAGGAATTTTTTAGAAATAATTTTGACTATATTAAAAAGACCAAAAGAAAATGTCCCTTGTTTGACATGTGTATAATCTACACACACACACACACCACAACCACCCACCCAAACATCCTTCTACACACATTTTTTTGAAAATATGTATTTTCAAGATCAATAAGTATGTCTGCCAAGTTTTGGCAGAAATCTAAGGAGATGTCAGTGTACATTACTTCTGACTTTTCTTTCTACTGTTTACTTTTTGCATAATTATTGATATATCTTAAGTTTACTTTGAAATCAAATAAGTTTTAAAGTGCGATGGGCACTTAAAGTTTTAACAACTATAGTATCACGAGATTTTTTGTTATTCAAAAGGTTGTACCTGATTTTCTCTTCGCAATAAGATTACTACCCGATTTCAGTATCCTCCACCCACATAACATTTTTCAAGATCAAACATGATTTTCACCTGCCGAAATCAGCAGTTTTGTGGTTATTTTCTCTTTAGATTGAAATATTCTTATATTTTGAAGAGCCATACTCTAATTTGATACAAGATACAAAACCTTAATTCA